AAGGAACAGGATCTAGGTTAGGATGACAGGATAATCCAAATTGGTGACCAGTTTACATCAGTGTCAGGGTTAGGGTGAGCTTCAGGAAGAGTCATGCTCAGTGTCAAGAACAGAATGAAGTCTGTGTCATGTTTGATGTTAGGGTGAGGATCAGAGTCAAAGTCATCCTAGGATCAAGGTGAGTATGAGGGTAATTACCAAATCTAGGGTCAAGATCCTCATCTTGAGTGAGACTCAGTGTCAAGTTCAGGGTCAGCCTCAGTGTGAGGGTAATGTCAAGGACTAGGCAAGGCTAAGGGAAGGGTGAGGACCAGGGTAAGTGAAACAATGAGAACCAGGCTCATTGTAGAAGTAAAGGGATAAGTTCGGGGCCAGGGTCAGGGTCAGGGTCATGGTCAGGGTCAGGGTAAGGTTTTAGAGTTAATATGACCATAGTGTCTGGGTCAGGGTCAGCTTCAAAATCAGGAATCAGGTCAGGTTGTTTTCAGTGTAGGGTGATCAAGGTCAGATTCAGAGTAGGGTCAGAGTCAGGATGAGCATCAATTTCAGGTAAGGCTCAAGGGAGTGAGAAAGTCTGAGTCAGTGTCAGGTGATATCAGAATCAGATTTTGGTGATGGTCATGGAAACGGTGAGGATGAATGTGTTTTAAATGTAGGCAAAGGACTAGGTTCAAGGCAAGGTTCTCGTGATAATGATCAGGTTGAGGGTCAGAGTGAGAGTCAAGGTAAAGGTAGCATCAGATCACAAGTCGGATTTAGAGTAAGGTTCAACTCAGGGTCAGGGTAAGGATAAAGGTTGAATGCAGGTCAGGGTCAAGGTGAAGGTAAAAGTCAAAATAAAAATGCAGATCTGAGTGAGCATCATGGTAAATATAAAGTTTGGGATAAAGGGTTATAAGCAGGATGAAGGTAGATCAGGACAAGGTAAGTGTGAAGATGATGGTCTGAGAGATCAGAGTAAGAGAGTCAGGGTGTTGGTAAAGGTCATGGTCAAGTTGAAGGTCAGCTTAAAGGTGAAGATAAGAATCAAGTAGAGTGTCTATGTGAGGACAGGTTTCAGAACTAGTGTGGTCATAATTGTTAGGGTGGTCAGTGACACGGGCTGTGAAAGAACTCACAAAGAGAAGAAAGTGTAGACAGTAAAGTTTTTACTCACTCTCCAAGAAAGGAGAGGGGCATGGCATGGGGAGATACACCAGCATTGAGGGGTGGGGGCTCTGGGTTTAAAAAAGGGTGGGGGTTGCTGTTGTGTGGCCCCTGGGCTATTGGTGCATTGTAAACAGGGCTGCAATCTGCTCCAATGTTATCTTCTGCCTTTGGATATGGGGAGCAGTTAGTCACATTCTGTTCTTGCTTTCCGTTAATTTCCAGTCCTGGACATATAAGCTCAGAAGAATAAAATGGCAGTAATGTTTAATAAGGTCCTAGGCCTCCTCAGCAAATGGTGCCACGGTAGCAAATGGTACTGACTTTATCCTTTCATTTATGGTTAAAATCAAGGTGGAGTGATAATCAGGGTCTGGACAGTAGTCATTGTCAGTATTAGTTGTGGGGTACAATTTCAAGGTCAGGGTGAGAATGAGATACAGTGTACAGATGATGTGTTGTGGATTGTGTACCTGAAGCCTGTATAATTTTGTTAACCAATGTCACCCCAATAAATTAAATAAAAAGGAAAAATGTAAACCAGGGTGAGAATGAGAATTAGAACCAATGTCAGGATTAGCTTCAGGGTCAGAGTCATGGTGATGGTCACATTAAAGGTCAGAATTTGGATCACAGTGAGAGTATGAAAGTGTGAAGGCCAGAGTGAGTGTCAAGTAAAGGTTAGGGTAAGAGGGAGGGTCCAAATCAGAATCAGGGGGAAAGTAGCAAGGGAAAAGTCAGGGTGAGGGTCAGAGTCAGAGTCAGAGTCCTTCTAAGTTTCAGGATATGGGTGAGATTCAGTCATGTACGGTGTGAGGTTAAGGGTCAGAATCTAAGTCAGACACAGGGTAAGGCAAGAGGGCCAAAGTCAGGTTTAGGGTCAGGGTGCTTATGCGTATCAGGCTCAAAGTTAACTTCAGACTATTTTATCAGGGTTAGTATCAGGGTCAGGTTGAAGATCAAATTCAGTTTAAATTTTTAGGGGTAGGGAGTTTAGAATCAGTGTCAGAGTCATATCAGAGTTAGATCAGTTTGAAGGTGAGCCAGGGTGATTATCATTGTCAGAGAACTATGGTCAGTATCAGCATCAGGCTGAGGGGCTGAGAGAAGGTAAGTGTCAGAACTGGGCGAGGCTGAAGCCCAAACCCAGGTCAGGAGGATGAAGATGATGTTCAGGGACGGAGTGATAGTCAGATTCAGAGCCCAATTCAGGGTCAGGGTCAGGTTAGTCAGGTTCAGCATGCAGTTCAGAGTAATAATCAGCTTAACAGTCAGTGTAAGGATGAGTGTGAAGGTCTAGATCAGAGTTAAGTTGAAAATCAGTATTGGTTTATTCAGTTTGCAAGTCTGATAAGGATCAGGGTATGGGTCATGTGTACAATGAAGTTGAAGGTGAGGGTCTGAGACAGGTCAGAGACAGGTCAGGTAAGTATTGGGTTGAGGGACAGGGTCAGTGTAAGGATGAAGGTCATTGTCAGGAGAGCTTGAGAGTTAAGGTCAGGATCAGGGTCCCAGTGGCAGTAGTGTAAGGATCAGCGTCAGCATCAAAGTCAGAGTGTTGGTCAGTGTCAGGCTTATGATCACGGTCAAGGATCAGGTTCAGAACCAGAGTCAGTGTGAATTCAGGGCCTTGGTGAGGGACTTGGTCAGGGTCAAATGAGGGTGAAAATAAAGGTCACTGTTAGGGTCAGGGACATGCTAAGAGTCAGTTAGTGTCACAGTTAGGGTAGGGTTATAGTCAGGATCAATTTCAGGGTAAGGGTCAGGATAAGATTCAGGTTGAGGGTCAAAGTCAGGGTAAAAGTTTGGATCAAGTAAAGTTCAGGGTCTAGTTCAACATCACGATCAGTGTGAGGGTGAAAATGAGTGACAATGTCAGTGTGAAGGTCAGGGTTATTGGGAGGGTAAGGGTGTCTCTCACAGAATAAAAGTCTATTGGAATGCAGTAAGGGTCAGGGTGAAGGTAAAGGGGAGGTTCAAGTTCAGAGTCAGCCCTAGGGTCAGGGTCAATATAAGAATGAGGACAAGGGAAAGGTTGTGGCTGTAATATTTCACCTTTTGTTTACAATCTCATTTCAACTATTAATTCAGGTACTTTGACAGGTACTGCTGTCAAGATAAAAGGCATTACGCTTCCTGCTAACTCTGGTTAATTTTTCTGCAGAAACAATAATGGATTTAGGTTACTCACTGGTCCAGTAATTTTAATTTTATTATTATGGATCATCAGATCCTGATGGTTCATATTACCATCTTTGAAAAATCAAAATATTCCAAATTTAACTTCTTTGTAGATTCAAGACCAGATGCTTGGTTAATCAGCATATGAGAACATAGAGTGAAGTTAACAGGTTTCTGTCCTTAACAAATTATTTTGTAATTTCTCAATTTCATACAGCTTATAAAATGGTTGGAATAAAATTCAGCTGTTGAACTTCCCGTTATACTACAACATACCTGATAATTGGTCATCTTCCTCTGAGCATTTAAGAAATCAGCCCGCAGCTCCCAAGGCTGGATACTTCTAAATTTATGGGAAGTTTTATCTTCATTAATTGACCCAAAATGGCTTCTGACCGTTCTTCTCAGCCGCACCTTGTACAACAATGGAGTAAATCTAATGCTTTTTAAACATGGTTCCTTGGTCTCTCTGCTCCACCCATACAAAGTAATCAGGTCCTTTTGCAAAGGTGATGTTATTGACTATTGTCCCACCCAAACAGCCCTGGGTCCCCATTAATGGCTAAGATTTTTTTGCGGGGGGGGGGGGGGGCGGGGCGCGGTGCAGTGGGAAGGCCCTAGCCTCCACATAAGCCACCAATCACACTTTAGAGATGCTGGCTTCCTGTTTCCCTGGGAGGCCGCAATTCTTTTGCGGGGTCTGCAGCCACCTCACACCGCAAGTTTGGGAGGATGGTTGGGGGCACTGAGCTAGTTCCCTTTAGACCTTGAACCAGACTACAGAGACCCAAAAACCAAAAGTCAGATGTGGAAGTGCACAGATACGAATTGAAGTCTTGCTGGAAGCTAGTATGAGAAAACAAGCCCTCTCACCTCTAGACCTGCCCGGCTGAGGCGACCACAAAAAAAAATGACCGGAAGAGGGCCGAGTTCCCTCCTTCGGCGCGCGCCACGCACAGCACGATTGGTCCGCCCGCCTCCTGGGTCCGCCCCTCCTGCCTCCCGCTCCCCGCCCCTCGCCCTCCCCATCTCTCTCCCAGCCCCACCGCGCCCCAAGGCTTTACTTAGAGATAGTACAGTCAGCGGGTCCCTCTTCGTTCTAACCGCTTCATTTCGTTTTTTGTTTTTTTTTTTTTAAAGTTCATGAGCCTGGTTCCACCCCAGAACCCTAAAATAAGGAAGCTTAAGGTCTGGAGGGCAAAGAGAAAGGGTGTCTAGCCCAGGGAATGACAGGAGAAGGATGGGTCTGCAAGGAAAGTCGGGCAGGGAATATCTGCCTCCAATTCCGGGATCTGGGGCTAAGGAGTGATGGAGCCAAAAGTTTTCTCTCTTGAAAAATAAGGGATGTATTAAACAGCAGGTGGACTCTTGCTTGATTCCATCTAGCACAGAGGGAACAAGACTGGGAGGCTTCTGACAACTGTGTTCTAGACAAGCATGTTACTGGACCACAATTTCTGGAGAACTTCTGTCTCCCTCTTTTTTCAATGAACCCTGCCCCCAGCACTTTCTCTTTAGTGCCTGTCTCCATGGGCCCCTCTTTTAGGCTATTTTGGTACTTACCAGTGGTTACTTTATTAAATCTCCAAGATCATATCTAGGAAGCAGAACTGAAGGAAAAGGCACCAACTGCTTCCACAAGTCAGGGACAGACAACCAAAGGAAAGCCAGGAAGACCAGCCAAACCAGTGTTGGTCTTTATTGAGGTGTCAAGGTAGAGTAACACCAGGAAGGGGCAGAGCCTGAGGACTTGAAGAATACAGAGGTAGGAATTAAGGGTATTTTGGAGATGCACGCTTCAGTCTCGGGGCTAGGAGAAAAGCAGTAGGTGATTTGGGTGCTCACAAGGACTTTAGGAAGGCCCTATATTTGTCCAGGAAAGGGACAGACAGAGTATTCAGCTCTTGCCGAAGTTCCTCCAGAGCCCTGTTCCGCTCTTCCTCCTCTCCCATCACTTGCTGCCTGTAATAGCTGATGTAGAAGTTCACCCAGTCGTCTACCATAGTCACCATGGCTTCTTCAGAGACAGGAGGTTCAGTGAAGATCTGGGATAGGAGCAGGGAGAGAACGTGGTTAGCACTGTGAATCAGGAATAACCCACAGACTCTGCCATCCTCTTTTTTGTGATTTGTATTTCCTGTCTCTAGTTATTCCTGTCAACTCTCCCAGATCCAAATTATTCCCCCTTCTCTCCCCTCACCCACCTTTTAACACACCAGTCCTGTCCTTTGAAACAGGTTACTTGGGCTTACCTGCTGATTCAGCAAAGCATTAAATTCCTTAATTCCTGTGGAAATGAGATCTTTATTAGCCTGAAGAAGAGCCATTTGCCTGTTCAGAGAAAGAAAAATTTAAGTATCCTTTTCTTTCATCCCCGGATATTTCCCCCAATTCCCTCACTGCACTTAAAGATTCCTGGTGGCCTGCAATGTCACTTCCCCTCCAGTACCTTTCAAATCCTGCCCTGCTCTGAAATCACATTTCTCTCAGGTTTGCTCACCTTCAGGTCCAGCAGTGCTATTATGTCTCACCCACACTTTTCAGGGTATGTATGTCCCTCTGTGCCAAGCTAGATGTAAGCAAGGAGCCAAGTGTGAGCCTAAAAGGAAAACGCCCTGCACCTAGGCCCTGAGGAGGAATGATAGGTCAACAAGGGGAGGGGAAGGAGGGAGAGGCTTCCCTGAAGTTAGAAAGATAACAAGGCCATGAGAACAGATGAGTGGAAAGGCCCAGCAAACCAAACCAGGGCCAGATCCTTGCCCTTTGCCCCACACCACAGTATCCAGGTCCCAAATGCTAACAAAACTAAGATCAACTGACCCCAACAATGGGATGGCAACTACTCTCCCAATTCATAGGTGATATATTAATAGCAGCTTACATTATTTTTACCATTGGTGTCATGCACTGTTTCAAGCATCTGTTAAGGTATTTATTCTTACCAAAAAAATCCTATTAGGCAGCTACTAGTAATTTCACAATTTGCAAGTGAGCCATCTGTAAGATATGGGGACTGAACTTTATCAAGCTGTGTTCCACAAGAATGGAGACATAGCTGTCTTGTTCTCTAACATATCAGTAGGTACTCAACAAAGTAGAAACACTTTTTTTCTTCTTTTTAAATATGTTCCTGTTTTCCATTTTTAGTAGATGTTTTTCAAATTTCAAGACACCACAGACTAATTGAGATGAGACATTACAAAAAATGTATCCTGAAAAAGGTGATTATTTTTACTCCCTCCCTCTACAAAGTAACTAGCATTAACAATGTGTGTATTTCATCATATCTTTCTGCATTCAAAAAACAACATTCATAGTTCACACAACCTATACACTCATAGATATTGTTTTATTTTTGTTTATAACATTTTCTTAATTGCCATACAGCAAAATTGACCTCTTTTTGGTGTGTAATTTATGAATTTTAATACATATATTCATGTAACTACTACCACAATCAAGATACAGAACATTTCCATTGCCCCAAAAAACTCTTTCCCGCTACCCCTTTGCAGTCACCTCCAGTCCCATCACTAAACCCTACCAAGCATTGATTTGTTCTCTATCACAACAGTTCAGTGTTTTGGAGGATATCCTATAATGGAATCATATAGCATGTAACCTTTAAGACTGGCTTCTTTCACGCAGAATAACACCTTTAAGATTTATCCAAGTTGTTGTCAGCAGCAGTAAGTGTTCCTTTTCCCCGCTGGGTGTGCATCACGTGGACACACTTGTTTATCATTCTCCGACTGATGGACAACTGGATTGTTCATAGTTTGGGGCAAATATGAATAGAGCTGCTATTAATATTTGTGTACGGATTTTTGTGTGCATATGTTTTCATTGATCTAGGGTAGAAACTATTGGTTACCACTAGGAGAAATAATTGCAATACAACCTGACAAAGCTTTTTAAAGGAATAATTTGACAATGCTTGTTCAAATTAAAATATGCATGCTTTTCAGCCCAATGATTCTGCTCTGGCCTCTATTTAAAAAAAAAATTCAAAAAAAGAAAAAAGTAAAAATAAAGAATGCTCATAATCAATGCACAAAAAGGCCTGTACAAGGAATTTACCATGCCAGTCTGTAATAATGAAAAGGCAAAATCAGCCTGAAGGTCCATTTGTATGGGAGTCTAAAGAAATTTTGGCACATTTATACTACAGCATGACATACATTTGTTAAAATAAATGAGCCCTGACTTGTGCAGGTAGTAAGTTGAGCATCATCCTGCAAAGCAAAAGGTCAGGGCACTTGCCTGGGTTGTAGGTTCAGTCCTCAGTTAGAACGTGTACAAGAAGCAACCAATTGGTGTTTTTCACATCCATGTTTCTTTCCCTCTCTTTCTCCCTCCCCGCCCCTATTAAAAAAAAAAAAAAAAAAAAAAAAAAGGCAAGCAAACCCTTGCTGGTGTGTGGTGTGGCTCAGGGGATTGAGGTCTGGCCTGAGAACAGAAAGGTCACCAGTTCAATTCCCGGTCAGGGCCAGGGCCCATGCCTGAGTTGCAGGCCAGATGCCCAGTTGGGGGCATGCGAGAGGCAACCGATCAATGTTTCTCTCACACACTGATGTTTCTCTGCCTCTCTTCCTCTGTTCCTTCCTGTGTCTCTAAAAATAAATACATAAAGTCTTTTTAAAAATTAAATTAAAATAAATTTAATTTAAAAATAATAAAGTAAAATAAGCGGAGTAGATACATAGGTGGTGATATGAAAAGATCTCTAAGACAATGAATGTTAAATGAACTATAGTTAGAGTAGGTGATCCCCAGCTGCAAGTATGGGAATATGAGAATGGGAATTAAATTTAAAAACTTTATTTCTCTCTCTCCCTCTCCTCTCTATCTCTGTGTGCAGAACATGTAAACATAGTAACCAATATTTACTTCTCGGGATTGACTGCCATTTTTTGTCAAGGGAGACATAAATGTCAAGGGAGAATTTGACCATATCTCTCAATATTATTATTTTAATTATTTTACAGCATGGATGTATCCTTCTATTATTTTTGTAATTCTTAAAAAGAATACAAAAATAGTGTAGTTCTAAAATCATTAGCCTCAGGTATAAACCCTGCCTCTGGTAACCACAGGAACAACAGCTGCTCACTAAATATTTGCTGAATGAATAAATGAATGAATGCTTTTGCCATTTTTAGTTTTGTAACTTTATTATTATTTTTATAGTAATATATTTTAATTAATTTATTTTTTCAAATGCATTTGTCTTTGCCTTCCCCCTCTCCCTCCCTCAATCCTTCCCCACTTTGGTTTTGTCCATGAGTCCTTGCTATATGTCCCTTGACTTTTCCCCTTCCCTTCCTTTTCCCCTGCCCACCCCTCCCTCCTTCCCTCTTGTCTCTGTTGGTTTCTTTTCCTTTCAGTGTTGCTGGTCTTATTTCCCTTACACCTTTGTATTGTTAGTTAGGTTCCGGTTATAGGTCAGATCTTATGGTATTTGTCTTTCGCCCCCTGGCTTATTTCGCTTAGCATAATGCTCTCTAGTTCCATCCATGCTGTCACGAAGTGTAGTAGTTCTTTTTTTCTTTCTGTTGTGTAGTATTCCATTGTGTATATGTACCATAATTTTTTGATCCAATCATCTACTGATGGGCATTTAGGTTGCTTCTAACACTTGGCTATTATAAATTGTGCTGCTATGAACATTGGGGTGCATAGGTTCTTTTGAATTGGCGTTTTGGGATTCTTAGGGTATAGTCCCAGCAGGGGAATCACTGGATCAAAAGGCAGTTCCATTTTCAGCTTTTTGAGGAAATTCCACACTGCTTTCCATAATGGCTACACCAGTCTGCATTCCCACCAACAGTGTACTAGTGTTCGCTTTTCTCCACAGCCTCGCCAGCACCTGTTGTTTGTCGATCTGTTTATGATGGCCATTCTGACCGGTGTGAGGTGGTACCTCACTGTGGTTTTGATCTGCATTTCTCTGATGGCTAGTGATGCCAAGCATCCTTTCAAATGTCTCTGGGCCCTCTGTATCTCTTCCTTGGAAAAGTGTCTGCCCAGGTCCTTTGTCCATTTTTTGGCTGGTAGTTTTGTAACTTTAAAGTGGCTTCATATATTCAAGCCTCAGTTTTGTCTGTAAAGGATGAACAAAATAATACCTACCTTACAAAGGCTATTTAGAAAATAAATTTATTAATTCCACAAAGAGTATTTTGTACCTACCTTGTTCCAGACACTGGTACCAGGCCCTGGGAATATATCAATGCAAAAGACAACATTCCTGTCCTCCTGGAGCTTAAGTTCTAGTTGTGGGAGTGAGAGGATGGATGATAAGCAACAAAGTCTGAGAGATAGGCAGGGCGCATCTACAGAGCTTTGTAGGCCATGACAAAAAAGTTTGTTTTATTTTCAAGTGTGAAGAAAAGCCATTGACACTATTATCAATAAGACAAGAAATAACAAGTGCTGGAGAAGATGTAGAGAAAAAGGAACCTTAACACAATGCTGTCAGGAATGTGAACTGGTGCAGCCACTATAGAAAACAGTGTGGAGGTTCCTCAGAAAATTAAGAATAGAGTTAGTGTACCTTATGAATCAGCAATCCCTTTTCTGGGTATCTACCCCCCAAAATTTTAAAACATGTATTCATAAATATATATATATCTCCCTATGTTCATTACAGCATTATTCATAGTAGCCAAGACATGGAAACAACTGAAGTGTCCTTTGATGGATGATTATAAAAGATATGGTAATATAAACAGTAGACTACTACTCAGCTATAAGAAAGGATGAAATACTGCCATCTGTGACAAGGGTGGATCCTGAGAGTATCACGCTAAATGAAGTAAGTCAGACAGAAAAGGACAAGAACAATATGATTTTGATACACAGAAGTCTGATCAGATTACTGGGGAACAGTAGGGAGGGGCTGTAGGAGGAGGCAATAGTAAACAGTCTAGGACGGGATTGGCCGAGAAGCAGAATGCCTCCAGAGTGCATGGAAGTGTGGGCTAAAATATTTGAAATAAAATAAGGGCTCTAGGGCTCCTGGACTGGCTGGCTCTGGCACTTGAGCTTGCTTGCTGGCTCTTTCTTCTTCGAGGAGGCCTGGATGATCATCCTGCAGCTTCCCACGTTTCCCAACAAATGGTATTTTGAATGGGAAGGAACTCCTGGCGCATCTTAGGATCAGGCTGGCCTGGCAGAAGGTGGTAGGGTTATTCTTCTTTGGCTGCTCTAGAGGGGATGGGCTCTGAGGCAAAAGTCTGCCATTTTTCCAAAATTGTGTAGCTTTTATATCTTAATGTTTTATTTGTAAACTAACCCTATACAAATGAGATAATTAAAACTAACCGGGAATGATAAGAGAGCTCAGGTGTTAAAGACTTTAGCCTTAATTGATATGCTTAAGTGATTAAAAATGTAACTAAAGAGAGTTTAGCCTTAATTAATAGGCTTATGAGACTAATGCAAGTGGAAAGCTCTTATTCCATAATTGTGAAGCTTTTGAAAAAATAATTCTTTCCTTTATCACCAAACGTTTGTCTCTGGAATTTTGCCTAGAGGGTGGCGGCAGGCAGCGGGACCCCAGGTGCTGTTTGGTGACAATTTCACTCATGTGGGATATAAATCAGCAAATAATTAAAGAACAAACACAATAAACTAACTCATAGACAGCGATAACAGTATGGTGGTTACCAGAGGGGAAGAGGGACACAGGGAGGATTAAGAGGAAGAAGGGCCAAGTATATGGTAACAGGAGACTAGCCTTTGGGGAGAGATGATGTATTATAGAATTGTATACTTGAAACTCATATAATGTTATTAACTAATATCACTCCAATAAATTCAATTTAAAAAAAGAAAAACCATTGAAGGATTTGGAGGAAAATGTTGAAACTTCTTCCATAAAAGTAGTAGGCAGCCACTTTAAGGTTTTAAGCAGGGGAATTTTAAGCGGTGTGAAGAGTGGACTGTAATGGGTGTTGACCACGTTGAGGTTCAGAACAAGTCACCCCAAAGTGTGTCTCTGGTATACAGCTTGTTTTAATCTAGAGGCAACCAAAACACTGTGGGCTCAAGAGGAACTTCGGCCCCAATTTAACTAGCTAATAGGGGTCCTGCCATAATGAGATTATCAGAGATAACATTTTCAACCTATCTCTAGGACAGGGAAAACTTCTAATTACTAAACACCTGTCCTTATGATCACCCTTCACTAATCTTTTGAAGCCCTTATCTTATAAGATGTCTTACCTTATCCTTACTTAGAATGTCCTAGTAGTACGTTGCAGGTGGAAAATGGGTGCTCTAATAAATCATGAATTCCTAACTGGGCAGATCATAGTGGATAGTTGCACCCCAGGCCTAGAAGTTCTTTAGTGAAAATTTAAGCAAGCCCTGCCTATTTTTATTGGGCATCTAGGTTAATGCACGTTTGAAGTGCTGGATGACCTTATGAGGTTATTTTCTGCCACTGGACTTGTCAATATTATTACAGAACCTTTTTTTTTTTTTTTGTCCACAATAGCATGTACTATGTGCCAAACATAGTTTAAGAACTTCCCACTCACATGGATGAAAAGGAGTTCTACTAAAAGTAACCTCACACGGTGATCTGACCATAAATTCCATAACTGGGCAGGTCATGGTGGATGGTCACACTTTAGGCATTTTAACTGGTTTATCTTTTCCTTAAGTGAGCTCTGCCCATTTTTTCTGTACCTCTAGGTTAACATACCTTTGAAATGATTCTTTTATCCTGTACTCCAACTCCCGCCTTGCTTTCTCCCAACTTCATGTAGTTTTCCTATGTTCCTTCTTCTTTTTTTTCTTTTAATCTTGAGAGTATGTTTATTTGAGCTGAGGATAGTAAAATAAGGAAGGACTTAGGACAGAAGAAGCAACAGGAGAGAGCTTAGATGGAGTTGCTTTGGTTCTTTAGATATGTTGTGGGAAAGAAGTGAAGCCAAGGTGTGGCTGCTGCCAGCTCACTGGAGAGTCAGAGAAAAGAAGACCTTGGAGACAGCTTCAGGGGGTTAGCCTGGAATGAGCAGATGCCACTGCGTGCTGCTCCCCTTGTTACAAGTGTCATGGGGTCCCTTAGAATTTAGAGGAAAATTTACTTGAAAAAAAAGAATTGAGGCCAGGCTGGTGTGGCTCAGTGGCTTGAGTCACAGCCTGTGAACCAAAGGGTCACCGGTTCCATTCCCAGTCAGGGCACAAGCCTGGGTTGGGCCAGGTCCCAGGTTGGGGGCATGAGAGGCAAATGTTATGGTAGAATGAGAAACCAGAGGGGAAATAAAGGCAGGGCCCTCACCATTGCAATCTAACCAGAACTAGAAGGCTAAAAGCAAAGGCTCACCTGGTGACCCAATAATACTGAGCCTGGTCTGATAAGGCTGCCAGGCATTCTGAACAACACAAGTAAACTATGATAGTACAGCCGGGGAGCCCTAGAAAGTCTGTGTATATCATCTCCACTAATGGGAAAAGGAAAACGACTGTATATTCATCCTAAGGCCTGGAAGGGAGAAGGAGAGAGGGACTACAGTGCCCAAAGAAAAGCTCATAAAACAACTTTGATTAACTGCCTGTCTCCTGTCACATATACAAAATGAACAAATAGAGTCTGGAGCAAGATAAGAATTTGGGCTAACAGACCCCTATACCTATGTTTGGGTAGTCACATCTCCCAGGGAAAGCTGGCACCACCTCTACCCATCAACCAATATGTAACTTCTTCACCCCCACCCTACCAACTACATAAGTCCTCAGAATAAAGTACTCACTCTTTTGCCACTCTTGGCTCTTTTTGCCACATGGGGGGCCGCTGGCCACCTGGCTTCTGGCCACCAGCTCCCTAGCCACCTGGCCTCTGGCCACCATGCTTTTGCCACCCTTGCTTTTGCCTTCATATTAGAACTTAGCACTAATAAACTTTGCTTGCACACCAGTAGGACCATTGATCTGTAATTCTTTACTGCATTGGAAAGAAGCAAGTTTCTGGGAGTTTCTCCTGTAACACAACCACTCATATATCAATGTTTCTCTCCCTCTCTTTGTCCCTCCCTTCCCATCTCTCTAAAAAACAAATAAATAAAATCTTTTTTTTTTAAAGATTTGAGTGGGCATACCCCAAGGAAAGCATGTACCCTATGTTCCCTCCTTCATTCTGAATGTATAAAAGAAGCCACAAACTGCCATTCTGAGAAAGATTTTTCTCAGTCTTTCAAGATCTTGCTTCTATGAGTATCCTCTGTATGGCTCAGATATATTCTTATAAAAATTCTCTACAGGTTTGGATGTTCTTACATAGTAGGTACTAATATTATTCCCATTTTACTGATGAAGAAACTGAAGGACAGAGAGGTAAGAAACTCACCCAAGATGTCATAGATACTAAGTGACAGGCTCTGGATTCAAACTGAGGCCACTCATGGGATTCATTCAGAGGTTGGCCTCAGAATTCCATACACTCACCAAGGCTAACATTTAAAATATTCACATTTTTAACCCTTCAATTTTTCACTCCAACAAGCATCTCAAATTTTAAAAAAGAAAAATGAAGTCCCCTGGGTCTATCTCAGCCTCAGAGAGACGTTACATAGTCTCTCTGAGATAAGATGAGTGGAGTAGAAGGACATTCTAGGCTGAGGTCCCAGAGGAAGGTGATAGTTTGGGAGAATCAGAAGTTTTAAGCAGAGAATCAAACTGGGAGGGGGTGGGTGTCCAAGAATGCCAGTATGAGGGAGGAACAAACTTTCCTGTACCCTCAACGTTCTTCTGGCTGGTCTAATCATCAAATAGATATGAGACAGATTAGCAAGAGAAAATAACCAAATTTAATACATAAATTATATGGAAACCCAACATACATGAGAGGTTCAGAGACCCCTACATACAAGTGAGGTTCAGAAATAGGAAAGCAGTTTCCAGGATATATGACATTTTGAGCGAGGGATGGGTAAGGTGGCTTGGGGGCTTCAAAGGGTCATTGCAGGATAAGAAGAACAAATGTTTATTAAGTAAGTTTTCCCTGCCATACAGGTAGGTCAAAAAGATTATTGCTGATATCTTTTAATTATGGGCAAGACCCCTAATTCAGGTTCTTCCAGGTGGTTAAGGAAGGGGCAGAGGTTTCTCTTGCCCCTGAAGCTGAAATTGCCTTTAGCTCAAAACAATCCACCTACAACAGAAGCACATCTTTGGTCGACTCTTTCTGAACTCCCACACCAGGCTAATCAGGATATTTTTTTCTCATTTCTTTAAAATGAAATGAGGGCGCTTTTGGCAAATTTCTATGATGGAGTCAGTGCATTGCACTAAACAGGGAGGAGGAAGGAAGAGGAAGAGAAAGAAAGGTGAATGGGAAGAGAAACAGTCCTTAGATCCCCCCACCCCCCAACAAACACGCAAGAACTTTTGCCTATTTCTTTTGTTTTCTGACACTATTAACTGCAATTCCTTCATTTTCTCACTCCTCAGATGTCCTTAGGATCCTTTCAGAAACAACCCTCTACCAGTCCTGCGGATGGCTGAAGGGCAGAGAATTTCTAGTGGAGTGCCAGAGCTGCCCAGAAGAAAAACAAAAACAAACAAAAAGGGAAGTTTAACATGGCCTTCTCAGGGAGCATATGGCCCAAATTTTCATCATATATTCATTTACAAGTATTTTTTTAAGCACCTACTACTATGTGTTGGTTGCCGGGGATAAAGTAGGAATAAAATGTAGCCATGGGCCTCACAACAAAGAAGGCACCTGAGGCTCAGACGGAGACTGTGACTTGGGAGTCACGTAGCTAAAAATTCTGTGGCCACACCGGGTCTGGAACGCCACGGTTCCCTAGGAACGCTCTCTTTCCTTCTGCCCAAAACTGGAAGTCGCGGGTCCGAGAAATGCAGGTACCTCCAGGACTTGGCGGGCCAGACAGTCCTCATTGCTCCGCAGGCCCGTTACAAAATGCTAGAAAGAACAAGGGCCGGGACCAACCCTGAAGTGTCGGGGGGTCGGCGAGGTCAGACCCGAATAGTTTAGCTCTCATGCTTGCCTAAGGACCCCGCAGATGCCGACCGCCCTTTCGCGAAGGAAGATTGCCCCGTTGCAGCCGCCGTAGCCCAGCCGGACACACGTACCGCTCACGTTTTCTGTCCAGCCGGACCACAGGAAGCGATCGCGGAATGGCTGGGCACGCCAGTCTCGGGTCTACACTGTGCTCCGAGCAGTTCGGCTCGCAGGCGGCCCGGGGATGCTGCGCCGCTCCCGACGGGAGCCTGCAGTGGGAGACCTGGGGGTGGCGCTGGTGGGGGTTCGCTGGCGCTTTTACAGCGAAACCCGGAGGAGGAGACGGGTGCGGAGGGGGAGCTCCCGGGACGGCATTTCCACCTCTCTCCCGTCTCCTGGCTGTGTTCCTGCCTCAAGGCTTTCCGGATAGCGTCAGCCCAGACTACCTGCCCTACCAGCTATGGGATTCCGTACAGGTTAGCGGGGCGGCATATAGCCGGGGCTAAGCGAAACAGTGAGGGCCACCTCTCCCTCCCCGTTTATAGACTGGATACTGAGGCCCAGAGTGGAGCTGTGACGATTGTTAGGTCACACACTAAAGAGCGTTGATAGCAGAACGTAGACCTCCATGCTCCTGTGCCCACTTACCGCTTTCTTTTCTTCTCCAGGCCTTTGCTTCCAGCCTCTCGGGCTCCCTGGCCACCCACGCAGTCTTGCTAGGCATAGGGGTGGGGAATGCAGAAGCCTCTGTTTCAGCTGCCACGGCCACCTGGCTGGTGAAAGGTAAGCTGGGCCCCTAGAGCCTGACCTATCGCTACTCTCAGCCCTGCCATCTCTGGCTTCCTCTTTTTCCTTCGGTTAAGTGGCCCAACCTCTGCTTTGCCGCTCTCCCAGTGTTCTGGCCTCTTGGCTCTGATTGGTATAATTGTGGACATATGCCTGATAAGGTCCGGGAGCCAAATCTAGTGCCTACAACAGTGCCTTTGTATCCTGCTAAAGAAAGAAAAAAAAATGCATTGGAGTAAATTTTAAAGATTTTTATTGGCTTTATTCAGTGATTTATTAGCCGCCCACTGCTGGTATACTCTCCTCCCCGTCCCGCACACCGGCCTTGCAGTGTCCCTAAGTCATCTGGAGACCAGATCCTTAACTTAATAGGCCCCTCCCTTTGCCTCCTAGGTTCTTTGTAGAGGACTGCATGAGTAAATAAAACTGCCAGCTGCCTAGGGTATGGGAAATGGGCTAGTACTAGAAAAAAGTTTTTTGTAGTTGGTTCCGAGTAGGAGATAGAAAGTTCTGAAAAAAATGAAAGGCATTTTAGATTCTGTAATACTAAATGGTGTTCTAAATAACAGCTGTAGTAGTCAGTAGTCATCTATTGACTGTGTACAACTTTTTGAAAAACCATGAATAAAAAATAAAAGATAACAGTTCGGTACCATGCCACTAAGAGAGTGAAGTAGAGAAAAAAAGGGAAACTCCCATGTGCTCCACATCAGAGCCCCATGGCTTTCTCCGCTGTTCTTTGTATTTCCCTGCTGTACCTAGTGAGGTTTTAAATAGGCCAAAGTAAGGCTTGTTCTGCTCCTAGCATCATCCTGGCCACATCTCTGATGAGCCTTCCTGGATCTTTGGAGAATCAGGAAGCTTGTGTGTAACACCCTTGCCATTAAGACTGAGCAAATCGACCAAATGAGAGTTAACTCTGGGAAGAAGCCCTCTGAGAGTGCATGTCAGTGGAGAAGTGCTAGCAATCTGTGGCTTGCACAAACAGTGCTTATTATATGCCAGTCTTTTTTCTTTTTTCTTTTTTTTAAGATTTTATTTAGTTATTTTTGGAGAGGGGGAAGGGAGGGAAAAAGAGAGGGAGAGAAACATCAATGTGTGGTTGCCTCTTGCATGCCCCCAACTGGGGACCTGGCCCAGAACGCAGGCATGTGCTCTGACTGGGAATCGAACTGGCTGCCTTTTGATTTGCAGGTTGGCACTCAATCCACTGAGCCATACCAGCCAGGGCAATATGCCAATCTCTAAATGTACTTACGCAGTCTTCACAGACAATGGGATAATATTGTCATTACCTTCATTTTACAGATGAGGAATCTGAGGCACAGTAACTTGCCCAGGGTCATAGTTATAGGGCATGGATTTGAACCCAGGAGGTATTGTTCACAGTACATTTTCATTTCACCAAACTGCTTATTTGGATCTTTTCCTTTGCTTCCCTATTGGCTAAGTGTCTGGAGTGCAGTAGGAATCTGTGTCAGTACTTGAAGTTTTCATGTCATTTCTAAGCACCCTAGTCTTAATCACCAGCATGCTGCCTATATCTGTCTTCAGATTAATTAAAAAAAAAATAAGACCACTTTAAGATATGAAAAAGTATCCATTTACTTTAGAGCCTGTTGTTGATATTTTTTAAAAGCCCCCTTAATTAGAAAGAATTTTACAAATTCCTTTCCATCAAACACAGGAAATTTGTATGTAGAGCTTTATATAAGAAACTTCCTTGGAATTTTTCGATGTGGTCATTTTCAGTTACAGATCTCTTAATGGAACATGATATAGTTGTCATACCTAACAATAGTAATACTGTTAGCAGCTAATATTTTGACAGCCTACTATATGCCGGGCATTTTGCACACTTAGGTAACTTAGTCTCTGCAGCAGCTATATTAGGTGGTTGTCATTGTTAATACATTTTTCAGAGGGGCAAGCTGAGGCACAGCAAAGATTTAGTAACTTGCCTTAGATAACATAGGGCCAGAGTTTTGACCCAAACTGACTGACTCCCGTGTCTCACTTTTAACACTCTTTTTGCCAGGTAGAATTTTAGAGTGGAGCTAAGTGCAATTTGTGGACAGCTTATCCCTAACTCGAACTCAACATTTTCTATATCTTACAGCTCACCTGATTGTTAATGAGGCAGAGACAAACGGGTAGAAGTTAAGTTTCCTAGTCTCATGGACAATGTTGAATTTTATTTTTTTAATAAGTTTTTTTTAAAAAAAGAGTTTATTTATTTTTAGAGAGGGAAAGAGAGGGAGAGAAACATCAATGTGTGGTTGTATCATGTGTACCCCCTGCTGGGGACCTGGCCTGCAACCCAGACATGTGCCCTGCCCTGGGAATTGAACCGATGACCCTTTGGTTTACAGGCTGGCACTCAGTCCACTGAGCCACACCAGCTAGGGCACAACGTTGAATTTTAGATAATAGGGAGGATACGTGTCATTATTGCATTCTAGTGCCAACCTCCAGATTCAGACAGGGGCCTTGCAGACTTCCTGTAATGAAGGATAGAGTAGTCCCTCTTTCTGTTAAGTGACCCTTGGGTGCAGGACATGCACCTGAGAGGTTATGAGTACGCAGTCAAAAGAAGAAAAAATAAGAGTCTGGCCAGTGAGCTGTCTCTCAACCAGTAAAAGTAATCTTGGCAAGTTCAGAGCCACTAAGTTGATCCAATACAAGAATCTTAAATGGAGCAGTGAAAATTTTGTGTAGAATAAAATGTACTTGAAGAGAAGAGGGTAGGGTGAGTGATGAAGGGAGGATTCCTGTACTACAGCCAGCCTGATGGGTATTACTTCCAGGGACATACAGGACACAAAAACGGAGACGCACAGCAGGCTGGATGGGAAATGTGTTGTACGTGTGCCTCTGAATGAAACAGCCACTGCCCAGCCCCAGCCCATTATGGCAGTAAGGGAAGGCAGATCCAGTGTTGCCATGTCTTTAGGTTCTTTAAGAAAAACTGGGAATCCAGATTTTTGGTAAAAGGTTCCATTTTGTTTACCTATCTTCGACCTTTGTCTATGAAAGGGAATGATTCTTCTCAAAGTCAGGGCTGTTGTGAAGATTAAAAGGCACATATATTTCAGGTGTCTACCAGAGTGTTTAGCAGTCTCCCTCAAGTCCAGTACTGGGTAAAAGATGTCTAGTTAGAAGGCCCCCATGCCTGCGGATGGAGGCTGTGACAAAGGATGAGTACATCTGGTTCCAGTGGAGAACGGGGAAGACTGGTGTACATCATCACCTTTCTGTGTTGTGAGAAGCTCCCAACCCTCCTTTCCACAACCTAGCTCTCCTTCTTGCATCTCCCACTTAACGGTCCATGCCCTGAAGCTTGAACAAAGTTGGGAGTCCTCTGCCTTCTGTAGCTGTCCTTTCCAGTGCCCACTGTTTGAGGCCTTTTTATTTGTTTGGTTTTCAAACAGCCTTTTGTGATCCCCCTCCTGAACTTAATGATTGTTACTTTCAATATCAGGTATAATCTAAATCAGGGGTAGGCAGACTTTCTGTAAAAGACCAGATGGTAAATATTTTACACTTCGCAGGCTGTATAGTTTCTGTCACAGCAAGCTGATACTACCATTGTGTCCCCAAAACACCCATGGACAATCTGTTGCTAACCTAAAAATAAAATGCTTTTCAAAGTGAGAGGCAACAAGCATTTATTTGAGATCAATAAGAATAACTATTTGGGATTCCTGCCTCCCTCCCCGACCTTGACCCTTGGCAGATTGCACTTGCGGGGTAGGGAGCAACTCACCAGTCCTACTGTGGCTGTAATCTTTCTCTGAGTGCGGCTGACATGGCTGGCTCGAATAAGACAAGGCTTTTGCTGTATTGCTCCTGGTGGGGCATTGGCATTGGTGTTGGTCCAGAGGCCAACCTGAGCAGTATGCCTAGTAAGAGATTAAAGATGCAGTGAGCCGCGGAGCTACTGCCCAAGTTCTAGATTTGTGTTTCCTGAGGCTATAGGCAGGTGTCTGAGGAGTGCATGCAGGTTATTAGCCAGTGGTACCCAGATGTCTGCACTGAAGGAGAGAATTACCTCCCTCAAGAAATATATTGACATATAGCATCTTTCCTGTCAGTCTTCAAACCAGTATTAATTGGCTTAATAATTGCTGGCAAGGATCCTTTTGCTTTCTTTGGCAGGCAAGCTCCTAGCACCTGGCATTGGGGCCCAAAAAAATAGGGTCTGCGTATGTAGGATGGTTTTCTCTTTGGGCAACATGATTGAGAACCAGTATATGTCAACAGGTTCATTTGGGATAATTTTGAATGAGGTACCTGTGCCCTGAAAACCCTTTTTATTAAGGGATATTTGCAAGAGCAGTGTGACGGACATGAAGAAGACCTATACTGAAGACAGCAAGCTGTTAATATAGACCGAATGTTTTCCTGGCAGGCTTGTTGTACCTCTTGGAAAATCTCAGTGCAAGGCAGTTTTTCAATGCCGGCACATTTTGGAATTCTGCACATTTGTGGAGTTTAGTAATACTCTATAGTTATTTTTTCTACCCCAAATCCAATCAGTTAATAGTTTTTTAAAAAAATGTAAACATTACCATTTGTATCTCTTTTTCCTTAGTCACATTTGAAAAAGTAGCAAAATGACTGGCTGGTGTGGCTCAGTGGATTGAGTGCTGCCCTGCAACTCAAACGGTTGCTGGTTCGATTCCCAGTCAGGGCACGTGCCTGGGTTGTGGGCCAGGTCCCCAGAAGAGGGCATGTGAGAGGCAACCACACATTGATGTTTCTCTCCCTCTTTCCCTTCTCTAAAAGAAGCCTTAAAAAAAAAATTAGCAAAATGAGTTAGAACTTGATTTTTTTAAAAAGATATCTTTTAAATCTGTTGTGATTTTATATAAATTCTCCTTTATAGTTTAGAATTGATCTTTTTGGGAATACAGCAGTTTTCAAAAACTTTATACGTAGAGTTTATCAGACATCTTTAATTTGGTCATGTCCACTTCCTATAGGTTTCAAAATACTGCAGATTCTGAACAGTGCATTATACAAGATTATTGTGGGGAATCCTATATACAGAGTAATTTACCAATTTATTTGTGTGTATGCGTGGGAGCATGCATGTGAGCATGTGTGATTCCCAGAGAACTACTAAAAAACCAATTGCTTTTTAAGTCCTGTTATAGTTCAGGTGTCTTGACTTGATCAATCTAATGAGTTGATTAACGGGGCCTTTATATTTAATAAAAAACTAAGCAGGTATAAGTTAAATAAAAGCTTTGAATTTATTGCCCAGGATGCCTGTTAACATTATATTTAACAATCATCTTGTTAAATTTTTGTTTTGACTCATAGATAATTTCATAAGGAATACAGTTTAGATTCACACATAAATAACAGATCATTTACCATTTTTAGAGTAATTGAAACTCTTCTAACTAAAGAAAGTTTAGTTGAACTTTACAATATTTGAATGGAGATCACTTGTCTAATTTCACTTGCCTTACATATATCAGAATTTTGTTATACTTGAGGGACAAAACTGAAAAAATTTTATTCCGTGAATTTAATATCTTTTCAGAGTTCTAAAAAGACTATAAGAGTAATTTAGCAGAAATAGGACCGTAATGTCAAAAAATAGTCGTATAACAATAGTCATAACATACTTTAGCCTCCATTTAGGAATAGAAGTGGTAGGTCCAAATTTGTTAGTGGAAGTAAAGGAATTTATGGGAAAGTTATGAGATAATTCAACATTGGGTCCACCAAACACTTAGCACAACCAACCATATACTTTCTTTGTCACTGTATTTGTTGAATGCATGTCTGGTAATGATCATGATTGTGACAGCCTCAAGGTGGAACATACTGCAGTCTCTAGCTGACAGGAAGTTAGTCTGCAGAAAAATTATTAAAATGAGCTATCTTTCTAATTAAGATTGCAGGACTGTTAACCTAAGTTCATGTAATGGCAAGAGTCGATACAATTTGAGCTGGGAAGTTAGTTACATATTATTTTTCAGGTGTAATAGCATTTTGTTATCTTTGACTAGGGCTTAAACCTTGTTAACTTAATTTGTACCAGCTCAAACTTCATATTTTCTGCAAGTTGAACACACTTCTGAGAGTATCTAGGGTCTTTCTTCAGCCGATGGACATTCCACTAGTGACAGTTAACCTTTTAGCATTTAGGCCTTTCAGCCTCGAGCCTTGGATGTTCCCATGTATCTGACAAATCAGCCACAGAGAACCTAAAATTTGATTCTAACTTTCCATGTCTGCCTGGGGCGAATAAATTACCTTTCAGAGAATAGCTTTAGGTATCTTATATTTTGTTGATGCCCATCTCAATACAGTTGTTTTATCTTTGGCCATATTTAAATCTAGGGTATAATAAAGTTCAGTGAAAAATTACTGGGAAGCCTGAATATAAAAAAAAAATTTAAGGGAAAAAAGGAAAGTTTAAATGAAGCTATGTAGAATATAGCTTCACTTTGCACTGGCTTGTGTGGCTCGGTGGATTGAGTGCTAACCTGCGAACTGAAAGGTTGCTAGTTTGATTCCCTATCAGGGCACATGCCTGGGTTGTGGGCCAGGTCCCCATTTGGGGGTGTGCGAGAGGGAACCGATCAATGTTTCTCCCTCTCTTTCTCCCTCCACTCTCCTCTCTCTAAAAATTAATAAATAAAACCTTTTAAAAAAAAACATAGTTTTATTCCTCACATTTAGAATTTATTGGTTGGTTCCAAATTTGTGTAGCTCTGTAGTTTTTAAATGGCTACGTATATATGAATTAGAAGACCATAGAACATAACAACTGGCTAGTGAATACTGTTGGGGTTTTTACTGCAATTGCTATTGTGGAAGAAATTATTTGTTAGATTAATTTTAAAATGTTTTTTTAAAAAGTAGCTATTCAGGAAGCATCAGAAAGAAGCCCAAATAATGTTTGGATTAGGAGACAAATGCAATGGGTATAAGAAGAGTAAGAGGAACAATTACATCTATAGAAGGAAGGTATTTCTGTTAGTGCAGGTAATATAACATAGTGATGCTGGTTCTAAGTAATGGTTTTAATTTTCAGTCATGTAGTCATAATACCTGCTTTCTTGTTATCTTTGCAAACAGTTCTTTGGGGCACAAGAGTACTTTAGTCCCAGTCCGAAGATTATTTTGCCATTTTAACATTCCAAATATATGAGGCATGAGATGTGCAAGGCAGTTCCTCTGAGGTGGCAGCACTGGCTCCATTTTAAAGTGACTCTATTCTGCCCTTTTTTTTTTTTTTTTTTTTAACATAAATGGATGGGCACAGCTGTGTTCCAATAAAACTTTATTTACAGAAATGGGCTTCCAATCTGACATATCACAGTTAACTGATCCTTGGTCTATCTAAATCATTGTTTTTCATATTGATTGCTATTTGCTTTTACCCTGGATTTGGAGCCTGGAACCATAATTTTCTGGGTCACTGTAATATCCGCTACGTCTCAGTGCCTGGCACAGAGTAGGTAGCCAGTGTAAGCATTTGTTGTGCAAACGAAGGTCTGACTGATTCCACAGACTTCTCTGACTCTCCCTAGCCTGAGGAGGCCTTTCCCTCTGGCCCACACCCCCAGTTCTCTGTCACAAACCTGCATTTCCAATCCTTTTTATTTGTCTTCTAATTAGCACCTGTGAACTTAGTGCCCAACCTCAGAGCCAGAATATCTGAACTTTCCACCCAAGATTTCCTGCTGCTTTTGGTGGTTTAAACACTCTATTGTTTAGTTTTATTTTAGAGCTTTATGAAATGTATGCTGTGCTGTATATAGTCTTCATGACTTAACTTTTTCCGTGTAAAGTTTTATTCAGATTCATCCATGTTGATGTGAATAGTTGTAGTCCATTGATTTTTCACAGCTGTCTAATAGGCCGCTGAGTGGATATGCCATAATTTATTCATGCATTCTGTTGATGAGTATTTGCATTTTTCCCAGTTTCTTTTTGCTGTTATGAACAGTGCTACAAAGACTATTTCTGATCTGTGTCTCTCAGGGTGCATGGGTACATACTTCTCTTTGGTGAATACTGAGTTGAGGAACTACCAAGTCCAGGCACTGCTGACCCACCATATAGCTACGTCTGTCTAGAACTTACTGTATCAGACTGAGCTCCCATGGGCAGTGACCCAAGGCGAATCAGCCATTTCAGTGCTAGGGTGTGCCGGGCCCCACTGGCCCCAAGGTTTTCCTCATTCCTTACCGATGCCTCTCTCCCCCAGATTCAACGGGCATGCTGGGCCGCATCATCTTTGCCTGGTGGAAGGGGTGAGTCTGTCTTCCAGGTCAGAGACCTCTGGCCACTCTACCCAGACTGTAGTCATATCTCTCTCAACGCTGTATTTTCAGCTTCCCTCTCCTACCAGTTTTCAGGTAGAGGGGATTTAGCAATTATATCATTAGAACTAAGGAGTCTTTAGTTAGAGTACCCAGTACAGGCTCACCCAGGGTCACCTAGCAATGAAGCCACATAGCCATTTCTTTGATCAGAATTGCCTTCAAGAGCACTGATTTGCCACAAGGCTCAGCGTTACCTTTGTTTGCTTATTGAAAGAGAAGACAGAACGGAACAGTGCTTAGCCCAAAAGGAATGACTTTACGCCAGAGGCTACTGTGGAGGCTCAGACACTTAGTTGGACTTTGCCAGGCTGAGTGGGAAGTGGGCTTGAGCAAATCATCAGGATCCCTGTCTCACGTGGGATCAATGTCATCATTTCTCTAGAAGGGATTGAGAGTCTTGTGCTGCCTGTCTCCTCCTCGGGTCAGTATTGGGCAACCTCAGGAGTGATTGCGTATCTTCTGTTAATTGTGATTGTGAGGTACAATGAGATAGTTTATGCTAAGTGCTTAGCACATTGCATGGCACATAATATGTGCTCAGTGAACACTAGCTGCTATTAACAGTCTAACCATGCCTCACAAGCTTTTATATATCATCTCTAATTCCTATAAAACATTTTATTTTTTTATTTTTTGTTTTAATTCTTAGAAAACATTTTAGAGTAGGATTGAATGTGTACATTTTATAGATGTGAAGCAAACCTAAAAGAGGGAATTTACCCATGTCACACAGCTTATAACTAGTGAGGTGCGATTTGAACCTAAAGCCTGTACTCTTTCTGTGGTATCAGCTGCCTTAGAGGGCAGAGTCCTAGACCAGGCCCATGTGCTCCAGTCCTGCCTTTGCCATATATTCCCTCAGGAGTTCCCCATGTGTGTCCCACTCCTCACCCAGGAGTTCCCCCTTTCTCTCTAGGAGATTTCAGGTTAAGGGTCAGGGCTAATACTGCAAATTCTGAGCTGTTCTCCTGCCAGTGGGGGAGTGGTCCCCAGGTGTTTGTGCACGGATCAGAGAGTCACTCTGCCTGGCAGAAGAGGTGGCCATCGTGATGTTGTATAATAGAAATATCCTGGGCCTGGATGTCAGAACCTGGCTCTTTCTCTAGCCTATTCCTCCATTCACCCTGTGATCCGAGGGAAGTCATATCCCTTATCTGGGCTAATTATCTGTAAAGTGCAGGGGGTTATGTAAATGTAGTGTTTACCAGTCCAAAATATTTAAACTTCTTGCTGGGTACCCTCAAAGCAGGAGGAAGGGGAGGGGAGATGGCAGGAACAGATGGCAGGGATAGCCTCTCTCAGCAGAGGGCCAGTGGGTGGGAGCAGCCGTAAGGCAATTTTGTTCTTTGGTGTGTCATGGGTGTTAGTAAGGGGGGAAACACTAAGTGACTACCAGAGGTTGTCCCAGCTGATGGTGGCATTTCAGGCAGCAGTGACAGGGTGTTGGGACAGATATCTAGCCGGGGTGTGGGTTTTCCTGAGCCCTTCGGCCCTTACCATGGCCTAGGGTGGCCTGCACTGCCCACAGGATGTGTTTTCTTCTTAAATCCAAATTGTGAACCAACCTTTCCTCCCCCATAGGAGCAAACTGGACTGTAATGCCAAGCAGTGGAGGTGAGGAGCTGGGATTGAGGGGGGAGGGGAGTCTTCTGTTATAAAGGTCTTTCACCTCAGACCTCTAACCTCTGATCCTTCCCCCCAGACTTTTTGCTGACATCCTCAATGATGTAGCCATGTTCCTGGAGATTATGGCTCCTATATACCCAATCTGTTTTACTGTGACCATCTGCATCAGCAACCTGGCCAAGGTACCTAAACTTCTGGGGCACCCCTGTAGCCAAGATATCTGCATTAGTGTTGCTGTGGGGGGGCTCTGTTGGGGCACACAGGTGAGCCCAGCCTGGACCCTGTATTCAGGGCACTTCTGGAAGAGTGAAAGAGTTCAGATGTTTCTACTCAGACCCACCCATACCTTCTGATCCTTCTTTAGCCAGGTTGCCTCTGGTGCCTCAGGTAGTTGAAGGAAGGATGCAGAGCCCCAGTACTGGTGAGGGAGCTCTGAGCTGAAAGACAGAAGGGGTGCTCCAGTGCCAACATCTTGGGACCAGCTCCCTGACTACCTTTCATTCTTTCAATAAAATATTTATTGAGTGCCTCATACATCTTTGGCGTGGAGTATGGTCCCTCCCATCTTTGAAAGAAAGCCACACAAAATTAAACAAATATGTGTAGAATTACAGCTTCAGATATTCCACATGAGAATTGTATGGGGCAAGAGGGTTCAGCAGGGAATCTGGCCTAGTCAGGGGATGGAGCAAGTCCTCTCCTGGGGCTGGGTCCTGAAGAATGAGGTTAAGGGGCAGCGTGGGTGTTCTGAGCAGAACAGTGTGGGTCAAGGTCCGGTGGCAAGACAGAGCACAGACTGGATGGTGAGGCTCGAGGGGCAAGTTGGGTGAACAGAAGCTCTTCATCTCTGGCAGGCTGCTCACCCTCACGGTTCCTTCAAGTTGGCTTCATCCAGGTGAGGAAACTGAAGCCCAGCAAGGTTTGGTGAAGAGTTTAGCATGTCTTCACCACAGGGTTAAGTACCTTGTGCAGATTGAAGACTCTTAAGAAGACATGTAAGACCCATGTCAAAGGCCCATGTATCTCTTCAGAATCACTTTAGAGCAGCTTCTCAGGGCACTACTGACATTTCATATGCAACAGTTCTTTGTGATGGAGGACATGTAGCTTCCCTGGCCGATGCACTAACTACCGTGCGCATCCTCTCACGCCCCCAGGCCAGGAAACCCCAGAGAGGATCAGTGCTGTGGACCAAAGACTGAGACCTCTGCCATGTTTCATGTTCTTCACCAAACTCCGCCTTTTGGGCCACAGTCTCTTCATATAAGGGAATAGAACACAGCCATGAACTTACTCCTGCCCTCCCCACCTCCCCCCCAACCCTCTCTAGAGTTCTGTTCTCAGTGACCAGCACCTCTGTCCCTCAGATACACTAATCAAAAGCTTGGTTTTCATCAATGCCTTCCCCTACCCCCTCACCTGTCACCCTCAGCTCAGTCTCCATTCAGTTCTGTTATTTTTCCTCCTGAATCTCTCCAGTCCGGTCGCTCCTCCATTTCCATGTCCCCTGGTGGTTCCTCACTGCTGAAAAAACAGCTGCTTCCCAAGTAGTCTCCATTTCCATTCTCAGCCTCCTCAGGCCTTCTCAGAGCAACCCAATAATCCTTGTAAGAGTGGAAGTCAGATCAGGTCACTTCCCTGCCCTGTTGCTCTTGGGATAAAGAGTTTAACAAGGCTTGCGAGGTTCCAGGTGACCAGGTCCCCAGTCACTCCTGCTTGCTTTGTACACATTCCTCTTATCTTTGAGCAAACTATTCCCTCTGTCTATATACCAACTTGTTTGTTCCTTTATTGATTTATAAGCTTCTGGAGAGCAAGGGTTGTGCCTGAATTATATCATATCACTTAAATCTGTGCCTGACATCTAAAAAAGGTTTGATAAATATGAGATGAATGAAGGTGATCAGTGACCCTCGTCAGTAAGCTTTAGATCGCAAAGGGAGAGATCCCGTTTCCCTTTGGAGGTCAGGATCACCTTTGTGGGTTTTGAACTGGCCTGGAAAACTTGGATAGGCCTCCACGGGAGCAGGGAGAGAGTGGAGTTTTAGTTGTGGCAGGCAGAGTGCAAGCATAAACTTGGAAACCAGACTGAGCCCGGGAGCTCGGCAAGGGGAAGGGTGCAGCCAAAGTAGAAGGTGGAGGGCGGGGAGTTCTCAGCTAAGAGGTCTTTGGGCCTCTGCCTTGGGGAGAGAAATTGAGTGTCCCTGGGGCCGGGTACACGGGGTTGTATGGCAGGCAGAACTTGAGTTTTCTCCTGAAATAGAACGGGAGGTGGGCCTAGCAGAAGTGTGGAGTGAGAAACAGTACCAAGGACAGCATTCAGGGTTTTGCTGCAGGGTTGCCTGAGGCCTAATTTTCTCCATCTGGTTTGAGCCATTAACTTGGCTCAGCCATAGAAGGGCCTGTGTTTTCAGAGCTCGTGGCCACTCTCACCTTCACTCTTCCCTTTTCCCCCCAAGTGCATTGTGAGCGTGGCTGGCGGGGCCACTCGGGCTGCTCTGACCATGCACCAGGCCCGGAGAAACAACATGGCAGATGTGTCGGCCAAGGATAGCAGCCAGGTGAGCAGCAGAATTGGGGGGATGGTGTGAGGGAGAGGTGTGGGGGCGTGCCACAGGCTTGCTCACAATTTGGGAGCATGGACAGAAACACCAGGCTGCTCCTGGGGGTAGGGATGAGAGACACGCAGAAAGAGGTGCAGTGCTCCCTGCCCTGACTTTCAGGTTAGGTAATCAGGTGTAAGGGCACGGGCTCTGGTGGCAGTAAGTCCAAGCTGATTATCTTAGCCTTTGCCCACTGCCCATGTGGCCAAGAATGAGCCCTAGCCCTAGCCCTACCCTCTCTAGGCCAAAGCCCCACTCTGGGAGGTGAATATTCTAATCATCTGAGGCCCCACATGTTAAAGTACTTGGCAAGTCAAAAAGTGCTCAGCATGTGAGGTGGCTGGGGTCACTGACTGGCCAGAGGCATCTACGCAGCAGTTGAGCAGGCCTTCTGGCCCAGCCACTCACCTGACCATGGGAGCTTGGAGTAGGGCTGTCGTCACCCCTACACGCTGAACCCTGCAGGTATTGGGTCCCCCAAAACCCCTCTGCTAAGTGCTTATGTGCATTGCATCATTTTAACTCTCACACCAACCCTGTGTTTGTTAAACATTAACCATGTATTTCATTTGTATGACCTCATTACATTCCTGTAGTGGCCTTGTCAGGAGGGACTCATTGTCATTCTACCAATAACGTAGTAAGGTGTAGAGCGATTCAGTTTTTCAGGGTCCCCTTGGACACGTCCCTTTTCTCAGGAACTAGTTAGACTAGCTCTTCTCCATTATCTCTCCTGAAGGTTGTTAGAGAAGAAGAAATAAGGACAACCCAAGCCTTGATTGTTAGGATCTCCCCGCATTGTGCCTGCTATCGCTCATCTACTCTTTCCAACCCCTCAACCCTCCCCCACCCTCAAGCTGTATTTTCCAAGGCTCCAGGGCTTCCTCAATCCACAGAGGCAATAACACATCACAGGGGCAATCTAGGACATGTTCAACCCTGCAGCAGTCCCTTGCTTTCTGCTGATGTTGCCTTGTTACCACTTATTGTGGCTGTTGGATGTGACTCTTCCCACCTAGGGAAGAGGCGGTACCTCTGCTCCTGAGCTCCCAAGGTTTCTGGTCCCCAGTGTACTGTCACACCCACAGCCTTTATTTCCACAGCTCACCCCCTTATCCAGATGGCTGGGTAAGAAAAGGTCTCCAGCTGAAGCCCTCCTCTGTGCCAGGACCAACTCTCCTGGAGACCCCAGTAGTCAGGGGTACCAGTCCAGATTCCTCCTCCCTCATAGTAAGTTGGGGGCAGGCGGCCTGTGGTCCTTTCTCCTAGGGTGAGCTCAGTCAGGCCATCTTAGGCCATCAGAGGGATTTGATAAGATTGATTCTCAAGGGAAGAGCTTTAAATCTTGTGCCTTTTTTCCTTGGTCATTCCTTGACCCCTTTGTAAAAGTATCTGTTGATAATTGCATACCCAAGAGACTACGGGGAATTCAGCCTTTTTTAACCACAATAAGAAATACTTCCCCATTCTCTGGACATTTCCTTGGCTAAGCATAGGATACTCAGGAGACTCTTGAGAGACAAAGAAAATGTTTAAGGGGCATTGTATCTGCCTGAGGGGAGAAGCAGCTGGTGGTATCTTTTAAGTGACAGGACACTCACTAAAAATATTAAAAATTTACTACGCACCCTCATCCATGTAGGGAGACCTGGGTGGTTCTGGGGCAGGGAGGAATGTTGTGAAAGGCATTCAAGGCTATTCAGTCTGGCCTGGAGGGGAGCCCTCCAACTCCCAAATCCTCTGCCATTTTCCAGGAGACACTGGTAAACCTGGCAGGGCTCCTGGTCAGCCTCTTGATGCTTCCCCTCGTGTCCAATTGCCCTAGGTAAGCCGAGAGCAAGCATGGGACGGAGGTGCCCCGCTGGGCCTCTTCCCCTGCTGACCACTTTGCTCTCTCATTCCAGCTTCAGCCTCGGTTGTTTCTTCCTCCTCACTGCCCTCCACATTTATGCCAACTACCGGGCAGTCCAAGCCCTTGTCATAGAGACCTTGAATGAAAGTCGGCTCTGGCTGGTCCTGAAGCACTTCCTTCAGAGTGGAGAGGTACTTGACCCTACTTCAGCCAACCAGATGGAGCCACTGTGGACAGGTGACCCAATCCCTTGGTCTCAAGTCCTGTGTCTCTCGGTCTGTCCCCATACCTGGGACTCCTGACTCCAGCTTCCCACAGGTTTCTGGCCATCTCTGTCTCTGTCCTTGGGTGTCCCCCTACATCGTTTGATCTCCAGGTAAGTAGCCTGGTGTCTCCCACTCATCACTACTAGCCCCCCACTTCCCACATGTGTGCCTTATTCCATTTACACAGTGGCCTTCCTTGACCAGGCCCACCTCTGCTCTGGGTTCTTTATTTCCACTGACCAGACATGGGGTCAGCACATATGCTTGAGTGCAGCTGGGTGTGTAACATAGAGTAGATATAAAGGATATATTTGTTGGATGAAGGAAGAATGGGTGGATGGAGTAAATGGATGACTAAATATAGAAAGAAGGGAAGGTGGCTGTGGGGTGCATGGGTAATGGCTTAAGGGATAGATGGGAAGTGGGTGAAGGACAGATGAAGTATGGACAGTTGTAGTTAGCAGGTGGCTGTTCACTCCTGCCTTTGCTTTCTCTTCCCCCACCGCACTCTCTTTCCTTCAGTGTGTTTGAGCTGCAGCAACTGGTTGAGGGACACAAAGAACCTTACCTTCTTCACTGGGACCAGTCGCAAAGTAAGTATGCCATATTTTCCCAGCCTTAGGCTCGCCCACCTGGGGTCAGCCTCTGGTTCCTCCAGCTTCAGGGCCACAAGCTCTGGAGAGTTTGGAGTCCACCTGGTGTCCTGGAGGGAGCTCTAGACTGAGACTCGATGCATTTGAATTAGAGGTGCATGCACCATGAAGTTCACCTTATCCCCTATAAAATGGAGTTAACAATACCTGCCTTATTACCTGCAGTATTTTTATGAGGATCAAATAAGGTGATTATGTAAAAGCTCATAGTATATTGCAATGCACTTACTCAGATTAGGTTATGACCTTTAGTTTTCTCAGGGGGACCACTTTTCTCTTCCATCCAGAGTCACTTCTTGAGGAAAAAAGTACTAGAATCTATTGGTCTGCTGGTTGTGTTGTTAAAAGGTGCTTATTCTCAACTAGCCATTACAAACATGCAAAATAAACCCACCTCAGTGAGCTGCTGTGAAATTGTATTTGGAAATTGGTTATTTTGGTTTGGCCAGAGCACTGGGGAGCAACCAGTGGGAAAGGCAAGGGTGAGAGAGGGCCTTCCAGGTCAGGCGACGGCCTCTAGGGGCAGACAGGGATGAAGCAGGATGATGGGGTCAGGAGTGTTTGGGGAGTGGCCCTCCCTGGTACCAATCTGTCTCTGGGTCTCCAGACCAGGTACAGGTCGTTCTGAGCCCAATGGCAGGCCCTGAGACTGTCCTAAGGGCTGCCACACATGGACTGGTTCTTGGAGCCCTGCGGGAAGATGGGCCCCTCCCAAGAGAGCTGGAAGAACTGAGGAATCGAGTACGGACAGGTAAGAGCTTCACAGTCTAGGCTGTTGATAACTCCAAGTGGGGTGGAGAGAGGATGTTTGGCTTGGGGACCCAAGAGCTCCTGGTTCTGCACCCCCATCCAGGTCCTAAGAAGGAGAGCTGGGCCATCGTCAGGGAGACCCATGAAGTATTGGACAAGCTATTCCCAAAGTTCTTGAAAGGTAACACCCTTCAGGCTCCTTGGCCTCTGAGGCTGTCAGTGTTGTTTCTGTAATAAATCCCAGTTGGCATTGAAGAACTGGGAGTGAGGGGAGTCTTACAAATGCGGGTGCTAATCTTTTATTTAGTATCTATTCCATTCCATCTTTTCACCATGTGTTAGCTCAATGAATTCTTGCTGTGACCAGATGAAGTTTTAGCCTAATTTTATGCCAGAGATCACCCAGCAGAGGCAAGAGAAGCCTGAGCAGGGCATAAAGCCTCTACCCCGTCTGTGCCGCTCCTTACCCTTCTCTCTGGGGTCAGCCCAGACTCCTCCCCAGCAGTTCCTGTAGTACCAATACCCCCATGACCTCTCCCCAGGACTGCAGGACGTGGGCTGGAAGACTGAGAAGCACCAGCTAGAGGTGGATGAGTGGAGGGCCACATGGCTCTTGTCTCCAGAAAAGAAGGTCTTGTGAGCAGCCCAGATGGAGGGCCAAGAGCCTGAAGCAAGAACACTTGGACTACAGCAGGGCGGTGGGGAAAGGCAGCTTTATTTTTGTGTTGGGGAACTGTTGTGGCTGGTTGGCCAAGGCCTCACAGTACATAACTGCCAGTCAGATGGATTGGGCCCCAGACAGGGACAAGTTAGAGGGAAGGAGAACTATGGCCTTCCCCCTTCCCTCCTGCCCCTTCTTACCACTGCAGGCTCCCCACCTGCACTCATTGTGAGGCTGAGCTCTTCCCTGGCTGTGGCTCAAGAGGTCCCAACACAGTTGACCTCAGGCATAAAAGCCCCAGAGGAACATGGCCACAGCCATCATAAGCAGGGCATTGAAGTTGACCACACGAGCCCATCTTGGGTCCTCACTGATGTCCTCCAGCCGCCTGGTTGCTGCAGCCACCTCCTCCTCGGTAGGGGGTGGGGAACTACCTGACCCAGCCTGGCTCATTCCACAGAACCAGAGCAGGCACTGGCGAAACAGGCCTGGTGCTGGGGGTTGGGACTCTAGGAAAAATTGAAGCCCTACAGTTAGTTTGAGGGAACTTAGCTCCCTAGCCCCACCTCCTGGGGTAGTGCCTTACCCTCCATCTCGACTGCATGCTCGGGATGCCCATTCTGTACAGGGGGTGAGCCTGGACCTTCCACCTCATCAGCATCCAGGTCCTCCCGTTCCTCCTTGCTGTGCCGGAGACTGAAAACCAGACGGTGGAGCTGGAGAGAGGTGGGAGCAGAGACCAAGTGGGAGTTCTGTACCTTCAAGCCCAGACCCTGATGTCTCATCCACACTGGCACTTCCTAGCCTCCCTCTGTCCACCCTGTACACCTAGCCCAGGCTCAGCTCACTCAAACATGACCTATGGCTGCCCTTTGCCCTCAGGCTAAACCCAGGCTCCTCAGTGGGGCGTTTAAAGCTCTTGGCCCTGCTTAATCACCCCAGGTGTTCTGTCTGCACTTAAAATTGCAGTGCTTTAGGTTCCAGTCTTAACAGTCCTGCTAAAACAGTGTTTCTTCCTGTGGGTATTTGCTCGTATTTACTCCTGTCACCTTTCCCCCCACTTCTCCACCTGTGGAGTCCTGAGCCCATCTTTCAAGGCCTGGCTCTTCAGTGCAGCCCCTACCCCCACACCCAATCAGCCCTGAAGCAGAACAAGACCAAACCCTTTTGTGGGTTCTCTGTCCCTTTTAGCCACCAATCATATCCTGTGTTTTGAGTCCCAAAGGCCATGCCAAAAATGTTGGGGAGCTTTAATCACTTCCCTTACAATCTTCAAGCCACCTCCCCCAAACCACCTCAGATAAATGTCATGAAATAAAAACGTATTTTCTTTGCAAATGCAACTTCAAACGGGACTCCCAACATGCTCTCAGCAGTCCTTAACATTAGAAAATCAGGTCCTCTCCACTGAGTACCACTGGAAGTGGTACCACTCGCTTCCACTGGAAGCGAACTGGCAAACGGGTTGGAGAGGGCTGCACTGGCCCACGTGGTGCATGTTTGGTGCCTGTCCAGAGGCTGGCACTTACGTGCTTGCGTGGGATGGGTGCTGTGCACAGTGAGACCACAAGGGTGAGGAGGCCAGAGCAGAGGAAGAGCACAATGGCAAAGTAGAGGTAGTGCACCCTGCAGAGGAGTGCTGGGCACGCAGAGGGTTGAACGCAGCTGCCAGAGCCAAAGGAAAACTCCGGGATAAGGCGTGCCAGACCTATCAGCAGACCCCCAATCAGTCCCCAGAAGGCACCCTGTGGGATAAAGAACGTCAGCCTTTTCTGATGCCCAAGCCCTGCACCAAGCAAACACTGTATATGCATGCTCACTTTCTCATTGACGCGGGGCACGAAGAGCGCCAGCACGAACACCGCGGACACAGGTGGTGCCAGGTAGCTGGAGACTGCCTGAATATAGTCGAAGAGCTGCCCGCCCTGTGCCGCCTGCACCACAGGTAGCCAGGCCACCGACACTGCCACGATGAACACCACCCAGAGCCTGCGGTGAGCAGCCATCAAACTTCACCCAGGACACCATTCTCTCCTTAACCTTACCAGTGCTCCCTGTCCCCCTCCCGGGCTGAGTTTTGGGGGACGGGAGTGGGGGCTCCAGTCTCACCGTCCTACTAACAGCAGCTCGCGGTCCCCTGCGCGAGGCCGCAGGCGCGTGTAGATGTCCATGGTGAAAAGTGTGCTGCTGCTATTAAAGATTGAGGCCAGCGATGACATCAGTGCGGCCAGCATGACGGCCAGCATGAGTCCACGCAGACCTGTGGGCCAATGGGAGCGCAATGAGGGTGCAGGCTTGGCAATGGGTGATTCCTCCCGCTGGCAGTCTCCGAAGCAGCCTGCACCTGAGGGCAGGGGGCAACCTGGGTGTTCGCTCTCACCATTGGGCATGAGCTTCACGACGAGCCGCGGGTAGGCGATATTGGAGCAGCCCACCTCCGTGCCGCACACGCGCTTACACACCTCGGGCACCACGCATGCCACTTCGTCTGGGGGGAAGGGCACGACACAGCTAAGACAGGTCCCTGAAGTAGGGGCTGGGAATTCTAGTGGAGGCGAGGTGGGAGTCCTGGAAGGAGGTGGAACTGGATGACTAGATTTCCAAATTTCAAAACTGTAACGGATATTGGAAGCAGGCAGCCGGGTTCTTACACAAAAAAGGGTTGGATGGGGGTCGGCATTCTTGGTCCAGTCAGGGTGCATACGTTACCCGGATAAAGAATACGGCTGATCATGCCCGGCATGACCATGAGGAACATAGGCATCAGCTTCAAGTAGCCGCACAGGATGCAGCCCGCCTTGATGTGGGTCAGGTTCTTCCCCGCCAGGCAGCGCTGGACGATGACCTGTGACCAGGTGCGTTCAACTACCTGCGGCCAGTCCCGGATCCTCCTCCCCCTTAGACCTTGCCTCAACTTGCCGCTCTAATTCAGGCCCTGCCTGGCTCAGCGCTGCAGTAATTCTGCTCCATACACAGTCCCGGCCGGCTGGATCCGGCTTCCTCGGGTTTAGTCCCAACCTGGCAGGGTTCGCGCCCTCGCAGAGCTTGCCCTCGGCCCAGCTCCGCCAGATGGTTTCAGGCACCCATCTCAGCCCCGCCCACATTGGTTCTGGTTCTGCCCCGACTTTGCCCCACCCAAGCCCTGACCCCGCACCTGGTCGCTGCACCAGTACCAGCCTGAGACGATGGTAAGCCCCAGGAGCAGAGCGGGCCACGGTAGGTCCCCCGTGACAGCGTCCCGGAGCAGATGGTAGGAGTCAGGCCGAGGTCGGTAGCAGGAGCTGGAGATGTTGCCCACGGCCGGATCCTCGGACACCGTCAGCGACGTCATTGCCCCCAAGTACTTGTCGAAAAGCCCTGAATACCCGCCCACCTCGTGGAAGGCTGTGTGGGCAACACCGTCAGGGGACCTGGCGCCCCGCCAAGGCCCTCCCTAGAGCCCACACGCCTGAGACACGGGATTGTCCCAGCTCCCAGAGGGAGCGCCCTGCAACTCATGACCTCCGTGCCTCTCCCGTATTGGGACATACCGTAACCCATGAGGATGAAGGCCCCCCCGAGAATGACAAAGGTCTGCACGGTGTCCGTGTACATCAGCGCTGCCAAGCCTCCTGCAATGGGCATGGGTCAGTGGGGACAGCCCAGACAGGCTGCTCCTACTACAGACCCTGTCGTTGTTCTAATACGGAAAAGGTGCCTCTTCCGGGAGAACAAATTTCAAAATGATGGCCCGTTCTCCGGGCTCATGCACTCGGGAAACAGGAGACAGGTCTTGGTGAGCAGACAGTATGGTTGAGTGATGCTCTTATCACATCTCCCCAGCCTACTCCCTTCCCCAAGCCCCTGTCACGGCCACCTGTCACAGTGTAGACCATGGTGATGCCCAGGAGTGCGATGACGGAGGCATAGATGTTCCAGCCCAGAGCCTGTTGAATGAATACCGCCCCGGAGAACATATCCACCTTGGGGGAAGGAGCGAGCACACAAGTGAGGACCCAAAGGCCAGGGCAGGGACCCAGGTCCATCTGCCCAGACCACAATCCTATGTGACCACACCTCAAAGGTTCCCTCATTTTTCCATGGCCTGGCCTTTCCAGGTCCCACCCACTGTGGCCACGGCCCCAGAAATCCGTGCCTTCCAGGCGCTGCCTCCATCAGGATCTTACACGTATTTCTCCTTGGTCCCCCCACCCTCCACCCCAAGACCTTCTAAAGACCCTATCTCAGTGATCCCGCCCTTTCAGGGCCCAGTTCTGCCCGCCATGCGTGCGCACCGAAATCTTGGTGAAGATGTACAAAAAAAGCGAGAGCACGGACAGGTAGAGGCGAATACGATGGCCGCCGAAGCGCTTTCGCAGGTACTGCGGCATCGTAATGACACCCGCGGTCAGATACACTGGCGCGAAGAGCCAGCCGAGTAGCAGCACCACGAACAGCGCCTGTGAGCACAGTGCGACAACTGAGAGTGACTCCCTGAGATCCTGCAATGAGGGCGTGTCCTCCGTCCCCCGCCCTCCCCCCCCCGCCGCCCCCCCCCCCCGCGCCAAGAGTATGAGAGACCTCCTCTCCGTGAATATGCTGTTGTAAAGTCAAGTTCGCATCTGGGGCCCAGAGAACACAAATACGGATGATATCCCTGAGCTCTGGACATTAAGGAACATGGTCTTGACATCTTCTTGGGCCCTTATCTAGAACCCCCCTTGCCCTCCCAGGCCATGACCTCTGCCCGGTCCCTCCCAAGATGGTCCTTAACCCCTACCCCCAAGCGCATGGGCTCAGGCACAGACCCCTCAGCCTGACCCCAGCCTCTGCCAGAAAAGGGCTGCTTCCACTCTCCATTCAAGAAACCATCAAGGCTCAGCTCAGAGGCCTCCTCCTCCAGGAAGCCCTGAGTTCAAAGCCCTTATCTCTGCAGGTTTCCAAGGTGAGTCTCAGTCCCAGAGCTTTGTCTATCTCCCACTTCTGGAAGGGGCTTTAATTTGGCCACGATGTCTTCACTGGGCCACAACTTCAGAGAGCATAAGAACAAGCACTTCTTTATCTTCACCCCACTTCAGAGAGGAGTAAATCAAATCTTTCTTCAAAGAGGCTACAGGAGGTAGTGGCTGGTCCAGCCTTACACAGCAAGTCGGGAGCAGGACATATATCTATACTGAAAGTGGTCATTTCCTACATCCCTCTGCCTCCATGCTGGCCTTGTGACCCTCACTTGAAACCCAACCCCACCCCACAATCAGGAAGTTCCACCTCCAGTCTCACATTCCCTCTGTCTGGAGCCCACCTAGGTAGGACCCTTCCAAGAGTTCCCTCTGGGGATGGGGGAAGGGGGCCTCACTCACGTTCCACTCAAATCCAGCCACAGCCAAGCCACTTGCAGCACCAGTCCCCGCCAGGCCCACAAAGTGGCCACTGCCGATGTTGCTGGCAAAGAGAGAGGCCCCTACCTGGGTGACCAGAGGTATGAGTGAGCCAGGCTGCTTCTCTAGGCCCCCTTCCACTCCACAGCCAGCCTCTCTCACCGGCCACCACACCATGCTTCGTCCTGCCAGGAAGTAGCCGCCCACGGTGCCTCTGTTGGTTCTGTACATGGACTGGGAAACAGGAGTTGGGGAGACCTGGGTTCAGGGCATATCTTTGGACCTCATTAGCCTCCTCAACACATTCCTCAGCCTTGTTTCAGGCTGAAGATTAACCAGTGCTTGGCTCCCCTGGTGGTTCACACCCCACCCCTACAACCCCTTCCCAGGCACCCAGAGCCACCCTTGCCTTAATCTGGTGTCCAACTGCCCAAGCCTGGGTGTGGCTAGATTTGGCCTGGCTTTCCTCGGGGCCTTGGATCGGGCCTATGGGCTCCGGTCCAGACAGGGGAACAGAGGAATCACTTAAAATGCTGTTCCTGAGGAAAATACTAGCCCAATCCAAAAGTGGGAAGACAAAGAATGAGTATTGGCTAAGCCTCCCTGAGGCTATCAGAAGACCTACTTGTAGGGGTAGGGGACTGTGGAGAGACTTACTTTCCCCCTCTTTCACCCAGGCCCTGGTTTCTCCCTCAAATATCTAGGCATCCTGCTCCTACTGCCACCTGAGGTCTCCCTGAGACTTTCCCCCCATGCCCCAGAAACCTGGCCCCCAGCAGCACCCTTCAACTTCTCACCCACAAGCCGACACCAATGACCAGCAGGAAATAAGCAGCAATGACCAGGATGTCAGCAGGGTTGTCGATTAAGACCCTCTGCTCCCTGAGCCCGGGTGGCAAGCCTGCCTCTGCGTCTTCCTCCATTCTGTCTAACATCTGGCCCTCAAGAGACCAGCCCTTGGATTCTTCCAGGGGAAGGATTAATGG